ATATATTTCAACTTTCATTGGTGCATTCTGACTCGCTACTTGATATTTCATCGGGAAAGGATGCAGATCAAGATCTAGAGAGCAGACATTGAGTATTGAAAGTGAGAGACGTGAAGAGTAAACAACGAACGTTGTTAGGAGACAGGGTAGCTTCCCATGACTCGGAGATGATGGTTACATCATTGCTTCGTAGTTTTTCGTATTGTTGAATTTGATCTTTCCTATGCTACATTTAAACTGACAGTGACGAATTTGATTCCTCTAATGTTTACATTTGAGCTCTCCTGTGATTACATTTGAGCTGACATTTGCTTACGTTTTCATTGCATTGAATTTGAACTCTTTATGTTGAATTAATTTGACTATTTTGATATTTGAGCTTTCGTTGCTGCATTTGAGCACTCTATAATGTTGATATTTGATCGGGAAAAGGTGTAAAAAGATTTAAGTCAGAGAAAGAGTGTGAAGTTTTTAACCTTTTTAAAAAATTTAACCTTTTAATAATCTTATGGTACTTCCTATTACCTTAGAGTCCTGACGTAATGTCTTCCCATTATTGGACAATGTAAAGTGTTTAGATATCATTATCTAATGATAATCCTTTCTTCCAATCACTCTCTCCCCCCCCCCTCTCTCTCTCTCTCTCTCTCTCTCTGTCTCTCTCTCTCTCGCTCTTTCTTTCTTTCTTTCTCCTTCTCTCTCTCTTAAACGCTTACGCTTTTTGTGTAATTTAGAGTTGATAGGGTAAACTTGTCTGATACTAATACTAAATATGTAACAAATAAATCAAAACTTCTTGGCTTGTCGAATGAAGTCTCGATGAGGTAGACTTGGGTATGTACTCATACAAAATAATATGCGAGTTGTGCAGACAAAATGAGCTACTTCTTTCGGATTTTAGTCGTGGAAATTGACACATCAATTTTATAGGTGGAGCTTGGACAATTTGTAAGTATGGAATAATACGCTCGTAAAATACACAGCAGACTTGAACAAAATGGCATCAGCTGAAAATCTATAAATCCGACCCCAATATTTATTTTCTGCCGATATCTCCAGTCTTGGATTGTGAGAAGTAACTCATTTTGTCAGCCTCACATATAAACAATCAAAGAAACCATTAAGCTTGCCGCAGCTTAATTTCGATGTGGTAGACATGCCCAAGGAGGTGTGCATTAGACCCATGTCTGTCACTTACCTACTGATTTTGAAATGCCGCTCAATGTTGGTGACCTGGGACCTCACGAAGGGCACGACAGCAACACTCCATAGAGCAAACGGTCTGAAAAGAAACGTAGTTATGTAAAAAAAAAAGTAAAGTTGTTCTCGCATCCGATCCGGACATTGGGGATTGCCTTGTTAGTGAGACAACTTCCTGGGCCTTTGGCATATTGTGGTAGGGTGGCTAGTTTCTTTCCACGCCACCTTTAATGTCTCCAACTGCCGGGTGGGCAGGAGGGATAGAAAAATATCCGTGTACAAACCGTTCGAAACTCGAACCCGGACTTTCCGCTTCGGAGACGAGCGCACTAACAGCTCCGCCACCGTGCCCCCGTAGTTACGTAGAGAGTAAAATACTAATAATGCACATTATCTGACTTTTGTGGACAGGTTGTTATTGTTGATGTTGTTGTTGTTTTCTTTGTATTTTTTTTGTCTCAATATGAAAAACATATCATCGAGAAGCTGTTTCCCAATAGAGAAAAACTGTTCTAATCTTTAAAAAATTGTACCCAAATTATGTATCTTTTCTTACTTTTTCATTCAACATTGCCCTTCAAAGGCCGTTCCAGCCTTTTCTATCTAATTGAAAACAACAAAGCAAATAGAAAAAGAAATACCTCTGAAACTAGGCGATCCCCATCTCCTTCAATAAAGATAGATGGGAATATTTTCGTCGAAAGCAAGACAAACAAGCCTTATGAAGATATCAATAACTCCAGAAGCCCAAAAATTGACGAGCGCCTGATTCCACGGTGTCGTGACACATATTTGGGTCGACATGACGTCACGCTCAAAAGATGGTTTTATTAATTCTAAAAGTGGAGGAGAGTGGGGACCCAAATTTAGTTTTACCGTAAGATCGTCACATGATAGTTTTATATGTATCAAAATTGGGTTAACTGATTATCATTGTGTTACAAGGAACTTAAGATAAGCTCTCTGTTCTGGCTGTGGAACAAATGGACTCCAACTATGCCGGTGTGGCGTGTTATAGGGAATGACAGTGGGTGGTTGGCGGGCGCTAAAGTGTGGTTTGCCCTTATTCTTATCAAACATCTGTTGCCACTATCTCTCCCCTTTCTTCTATTCGTACTTGTTTCTCTTTGTGTTCAAGGAACGCCACTTCATGAAAACAGTAAAAACAAAAGAGTAACCTTGATGTGGACACAGAATGTTTCAATAGTGTTTTTTATGGTTTCTGTAAAGGAGGCATGGACCATTGCCATTAGCAAATACGGTTAAAATAGTTACCTTAGATTAAAAAATCTAAAGAAGAATCCAAAGACTACGACTTTAAGGTATGAACAAATATACCATAAGTTGCTAGGCGCACAATAAAGAATACATTTCGCAACTTACCCGTACAAAAACACGAAAGCCCATAAATTGGAAAGGAACTGCAATCGTTTAGGTTTGCACGGACCGATGCCAAACTTCCCTTTATCATAATCAGTGATCTCTTCTTCGTCCTCATCCTCGTTCGCCTTTTTGCCAGTGACACACCTAACCATCTTCTTGAGAAAGCTTTCTGGCTCTAGGTTCTTCTCAGGTCCGTTGCTATGGCCATCTTTTGTAGAATCTGGCATCGTACCAGACATGATTCCTGAAAGGGATAAAATAGTAAGCAGATTTTATATACACTCGAAATTGCCCAAGACAGTCACCCAATGTCGTGAAGAAAATTAATAGTTCTCTCTGACTGCCAACATCTTGGTCATTATGATCTCAAAAAAGCAAAGAGTGAAGTGAGGAAGCGGCATTTTGTACAGGTGATTGTAAAGGACACTTGACCGTTAGTGCAGGTTCGACTGTATTATACTATTACGTAAAAGTGTTTTAATAATGCGGTGGAATCAGGCTAATGATAATTCTGCTGAGTATAAGGAATGAACAAATGGTACAAATTTGGCATACGTGATGTATTACGAAACAGTAAATTCTCTGATGACATCCCTTCCTCCAACCCCACTAGGCATAATAATGTGGTCACTTTTTTAAGGATGCACAGCCAGTCAAGGAGGAAGATCTCTTTTTCAGGGCTTAAAGTAACGTAATCCCGCCCCTCCCCTCCTGGCTAATATGTGAGACAGCGTGGTGGAATCAGGCTCTCGTCAATTTTTGGGCATGTAGAGTTATTGGTATCAACTTAAAATTTGTCTATTTGTCTTTATTTGGATGAAAGAAATATCCATTTATCTTGAATACAAGTCGAGATATTTGCGAAAGAAGGAGGTGGAGGTCATTTGTTTTCAGAGGTAAAATAAGTGAGAAAATGGCCGCCAAAGATTAATTATTTCCTTAGCTTAAGAGTCCGTGGTAACTGAAAATTTACATTTTGTGTGCCTTTAATCAGCATTTTTCAGAAAAATCCTCACAGAAATGAGTTCTTTAACGAGCATGAAAGGTGTTGAGCCAAAAAACAAAAATTTGAAAATAATTCACAAACCTGCGGAAAAACGCAAGTTTCTTCACTTATATTATTTTGACGAGAGCCTGATTCCACCACGCTACCTCACATATTCTCTGTTATTGAAACTTCTGCTGTTACAGCTACTTTCTACAGATTTTACGAATATCTAATCATTATTAATTGCACTGTAGATCTCAAGCTATTGCTTTACAGATAAAAGCAGTTTGCAAACACACGTGGTTGAAATGTTAATCTAATCCCAAAACCCCGCTGATATTGAATAACAACAAGAAGAATAAAAATAAAGGTAATGATAATTTTGTGATGAAAAAATATGTGGTATTAATGATAGATCAATGATAATTACAATGAAAACCATCATAATATTAAATTTTGTTATTATAAAATTCTTCTTATAATCTTCTTTTTATGATGATGAAGATGATGATAACGATTACTATTATTATTATTATTATTATTATTATTATTATTATTATTATTATTATTATTATTATTATTAGTAGTAGTAGTAGTAGTAGTAGTAGTAGTAGTAGTAGTAGTAGTAGTAGTAGTAGTAGTAGTAGTAGTAGTAGTAGTAGTAGTAGTAGTAGTAGTAAAATCATTGTTAATTACATTGTATAACAGTAAAAATTATAACAATGATAATAACAACAGTAATAATAATGTAATAATGATAATAATAACAACAATAATAATATTATTTTTAATGATAATAATAATAATAATAATAATAATAATAATAATAATAATAATAATAATAATAACAACAAGGATAATAACAGCCACTAAAGGGAGCCAGACAGATATCGAAAAGCTACAGATTCTGGTGTCACTCCAACCTAGATTAGGGTATTGGCAGCACCGTATCTACAAGAGAGTTGAGCCGTCTATTGGTTGTATAATGTGTAATATTTTTTATGTTTCGTTTTAGTTTTGGCAAGAGTTTTACGGCACTTATAACGCAATAAAGCCATTTAAATGCGAAAATTAGAAGTGCTACAAGAGAGTAAAACACACAAAAAATAGAAGAAGGAAAGATAAGGACGATATATGATTGATTGGAAAGAAGGAGGAAACCATGTTAAAGCACCCAACAACCACCCACCATTCTTTCTATCTCAGTCTATTATGGATAAGGATATGAATACAAGTCTTTAAAGGAACTTATTAACATACATCATGGAAGAAAATCATACCCTCAGAATTACTGAGTTGTAGAAATACATGTACCTGTTAAGTTGTTAGTTACAGTCACGTTGGTGTCTTCGGTTGTTTATGGCGTAGTCTTTTAGAAGAAGCCAACTTCTTATCTTCTAATAAAAACCACCAAGGACGTGCATCGCGACAGCCACGATTTACTCGGCAAACTGCGGCTTGGTACTACTTCACCGCACCCTCCATGCTCATTAAATAGTACCCTTATCCGGCCAATTTCATGAGAGGTAAACCACGAGTACCCGAGCATGCATTGACTGAATGGTGACTGACACTAAACCTAATCTGCTATTTTTAAGAGTGTTGTTGGTTATGAATGTCATCTCAACTTTGGTCCCCTTGCTCTAAATTTATTCTTTTTATTTTAATTATGACATTTTGTGATACTGAGGTGAATAATGTCACGAGGAAGAATATATAATAATCTAGTGGCTAAGCGTTTTGGTTGTCTGTTGTTTTTTTAAATAGTGTAACATGTTACTTAAAATTATTGATAAACACAATTGCCTGCTCTCATATTATACTTACTCGTGCGAGGGATGTCTGAAAAAGAAAACGAAAATGGGAATTAAAAAAAAAATTGTAACTGTTATTACATTCTCTAAACGGCCTGCAAAATGAAGCAATGAATGCTACTGGGCTTTGTCTATAAAGTAACAGTTTCATGAATGAACGCATGCATCTTTTATGAAATAACGTTAAACATAACGATCGTTATTGGGGAGTGATCAAGTGTGGAAGTGTCTTTAATTACACGATTTCTACACGTTGAAGGAAAGAACTCACACAAAGTACAACACACTTGTTCTTGTATTTTGCCAAAATATATCGAGTAACAAACAACAGGCATATCACTGGTGCAGTTTGTCTAATGCGGTAGTCGCGAATCTCGAAGACGAGACACGTCACGCCAGACACGAGTAAACCTTAAAAGGGGGGGGGCTACACCTGAAGGCTATCTTGCTTATTATTTTACCAAATTTCACACATATAACAAGCATAGTAAGGAATCTTAAAATCTGCAATCAAATTTTAGAAAAAAGTTTCGTTTCCATGGATACGCCGCCATATTGGATTTTATTGACATGTCTTACGTAATGAATACCGCACTTATTATTTATGGAAATTAATAGTTTTTTTTGCATGCGTGTTTACAAGCATTAGGTCTAAAAACGTGTCTGTTGTTTTTTTCCTAAACAAATTAGAACATTTTTAATGAATTTTTTCCTGAGGTAGCATTCAAGTTTGCGAACAATCCGTGGAAAATCCACACTCCAGACACCACCAACAAAAATCTATTCTATATATCAAAAAGTCATTTTGTGAAAATTTCATGAAGATTGGATGAAAAATGGTGGAGTTATTCAAAAAAGTATAGAGAAAAGTCGCGTTTTGAGAAAACGGCCGATAAAGAAAAATAAAATATTGACTTTATGAGGATAATATGGCGGTTACAAACATGCCCAGTATGGGGAAAAATACGGTTTTGGGGGGTTCTTATGCGATGAAATAGTTGTAGGCGGGGCTGAGGAAGCTTAAAATGCCCACAACTCAAATTCCATGATTTTGAGCCGAATTTTGACTTTGGGGGTGTACACCCCCCCCCCCCCCCCCTTTTAAAGTAAAAAGACAGCATTCAGTGAGTTTTCAAACTTATCCTTGAAGACTGGCCATTTGGATCTCGGGAAACTGCAGTCTGCGATTGCTCGTGTCCTTCAAAAATTAGTCAAACATTTTTTTTCCAAAACAGCCCGTTATCATAGTGTCATTGTGTCAGCCGAATAGGTCCCGGGCAACTGACCTCGGAGCACAAAGTGTGGCACTTGAAAAGTAGAACACTTGTCAAAATCTGTTAAACTAAGAAGGGAAGGGGGCAGCGCCGTCAGGAATATAGAAGCATAGTATACGGGTTGCAAGCGAGCTCATGGTGACTTGACTTTATTGAGTGATGGCTTCAGAGAGCATGCGATTACAAATAATGAGATAGAGATGCACCAGGATGTATTCAGGAAACAAAAATGGACAAATAAGGTGTAAACAAACTTGTATTGCCTTCACCAGCTTAAACTTCATGTTGTTTTGGTAAGTGTTTTACGGCGCTCCCAAATGTTTAAGATCATATGAGCGCGCAGGACACGTTTTTGTTTGGTAGGAATTAATTTACCTGGCAGAGGCCTACTCTTATCGATATTAGGTCATCAAGGGATCTTTAACGTGCGCAACTTGCGCACGGAACCTCCGAGATTTTTCACCCTTATCTTTCTTGATCGTATCTGTCCTAAAAATAAGGAGTGTGGCTGAAAAACAGTAGTAAGAAGGAGCCAAGGAGTAGCAGTAGCAATGCTGCAGAAAGAGTCTGAAGAGGAGACGAAAGCAGGAGACAGAACATGGTTAGAGATGAAAGGAAAAATTATAGAGAAAAAAAATGTTCCCATCGCTGTCAGGTTTCAAACCCTGGACCTAGTAAAAGAGAAGCAAACGCCACTCCAAGAATCCCCTCAAACTTCATCTGTTGACAACCATGGTCGAACCTGATGGATACTGTGTTTTGAGATGTCAACGGTGTTCGATTTCTGGCTAGACAACCTCCTGAGCAAACTGTTAACACAATGAACTATTGTGAAACAGTCGACAAGTCGCTACCTACTATAATGTTCTATCTGTTCAACACCTAGTTTTCAGAAATTTGACGTGAAAAATTTTGATCTTCACAAAATGCCCAGCATTTTAAAATATGCAATCCTTTGAATATCTAGATTAGAGCATAGAATAATCTCACAATTTTGATAGTGCAGGCTAAACAATCGGAGTCTCACCTCGTATCCTTGGATATCTGTCATTTTCTAAGTATACACCAGAATTTAATGGCACAATTGATATAATAGGAACATAAATTAGTTTTTTCTTCCCACTTTTCTTACATCTGAACATTTTGGTTTAGCTTTGCCAAAATCCAGAAAGGCTTTCCAGAACTTTACCTGAACATTGCCTATCACGTCCCAATTTTTGGTACCCAAAATTTCAGAGCCATAAAACAGCATTGGTTTAATCTTTCTATCAAAATATGTTCGGATGTTTCGAAATGTAAATACTGGTTTGAACTAAAAAGTCTTCTTGTTCGAGAAACAATACGTTGAGCTTCATCTCCCGCATAGACCGGATGAAAATTTATGCCCAAGTAACTGTAATAGGTTACAGTCTCTAAGATCTTACCCTCTAAATATAATCTCTCGGATTTTTTAAAATAGATAGCCTCCATTTCTAAAAACGACAGTCTTAATTTTCTCCCTATTCATTATTAAACCCCATATCTGGCATGCAGAAATCATATAACATAAATTTTTTCTTTTGTGCTACTTTCTAGTAAAACCATCGGCAATTAGTGTCTTATATGACCCCTTTGTATTCCAAGTGCCTTAAAACTTTCTTTTCAAATGAATTGAACAATATAATGTATACGTTTTATTCAGATCCACTTGAATATTTTTCGTTAGATTCCACGTTCATCATATTTTCCGGACATATTACGTACATACGCACTCATTTACCGGTAGGAACGCTAAAGCAAGTTACGACGGTGAATTGCTGAAGAAGTAACATAATATATCAAAGAGTTTCTAGCTTACTTTTCCGTGCCCCTATGTCAGTTCTGTTACGGGCTTAAACACGTCCACAGCTCAGGTCGTTTTAATGCGGCTTTCTGCTCAGCTTCACTTTGGATTATTCATCTGTTGTTTTTTTTCTCATGAGTATTTTGATAGAACTGAGCAAAGTATAGATCATGTCAAAGGTTATGATGCTCATTCTCCAACGAACTGTTACCCTGATAATAATTTGTTTCACAGTAATTTTCCGCTTGTTTCGAACCTTGAATTTCCACGTCTTGCCTAAATCTGTAAATTACGCGACATAAAGGTTACGGGCTTTCATTTCAAAGCTCAGGGCTAGCGCCCATACTACCCACTCCCCCCACCCCAAAACAGAAACACATACAAACTCACACACAAACAAACAAACACAAAAGCACACAAACGAACTTTCACACATAAACACACCCACGCAGCGAGAGAGAGAGAGAGAGAGAGAGAGAGAGAGAGAGAGAGAGAGAGAGAGAGAAGGGGCGGAGGAGGTTGAGGAGGAGACAGAAAAGTATTATCACAGGGGTTATCACAAGGATACAACGCTATACTCTACATCGCAATCATCAAACATGCTTACAGTACTATGGCATAGTGTCATTTTGGGCTCTTCAGAAGTGTATCGTCATAACGCTAATTTGAGAGGGTTGTAACGATAACGTTATGACTTTGGTTGAGGATAATGTTGAAACAATTTCCAAGACTGAGTGCCTATGCACCATCAGTGACTAATAATCTAAATGAAAGATCTATCATTCAAAAGGTTAGACCAAAAAAAGTTTTAATGGATGTGCACATTGTCTTTTGGAAGGAGAGAGGGCAAGACAAAGATAGGAAGTGAGAAAGAGAGAGAGTGAGAGAGAGAGACAGAGAGAGAGAGAAAGAGAGAGAGAGAGAGAGAGAGAGAGAGAGAGAGAGAGAGAGAGAGAGAGAGAGAGAGAGAAAGAAAGAGAGAAGTGCTTTGTATGCGTGATGCATAACATAATAATAATTTACTGTCCAAAACGTGTCCATGGTCCCTGTAAGTGGGTTCGCGTACCCTTTGTGAATGGGAACCCACCAGTAATGAACTGTTTTTGTATTAAATATCGGTCATTGGGTCAATAGCAGGTCGAGCAACTGTTATTTCTGTTCACAAGCACACAAGATGTTATATCATCTTTACATAATAGTATGATACGGCGCCTTATAGGACAGCTTATTCTATTACTGCTGTTGCTACTACTACTACTGCCGCCGCTGCTGCTGCTGCAACTACTACTACTACTACTACTACTACTACTACTACTACTACTACTACTACTACTACTACTACTACTACTTCTACTGCTACTGCTACTACTACTACTCCTACTACTTGTACAACTCTTACTGCTGCTGCTACTGCTGCTGCTGCTGCTGCTGCCACTATTGGTCCTGCTACGTAATGATGGTAGTGGTTGTGGCTATGGTTGTGGTGGTAATGCTGCTGCTGCTTCTGCTGCTGTTACTG